CCTTTGGACTAGAAAACCTATGGAGACTTCAGCAATGGTACTGTGCTGTTAGAGAAATGCTTTAATTTTCATATTCCAATCAGATGGTATCTTATACCCCAACTGGTTGGGGAGGGATTGAAAGTGGTAGTAAGTGCTGTACCAAGGGCCCTCACACTTGGTCATTCTCTTGAGAGCTGGGGTTTTCTCTGCAGGGGACCAGTGGAGGCCTGCAAGAGAGGGCTTGGCCTGGGCCAAGAGGCCTGGAGACTTGACCGGGAAGCAGCTGCTGCCCCTGAGGAGCAGTCAGCACTGTGTATGGAAAGAGAGAGAATGGCTAACGATACTCCATATTAAATTGCCTATTGTTTTTGCCACCTGATGTGTCTGCATGAGAGATTTCCTTTTTGTTCATTTTTAAGCTGCTGTTAAACCAAAACCATGTTGTGCTACTGTGTCAGCCTTTTCATTATTCCAAATTTTGCTTTTACTATTTAAGTGAATGCGTAGAATCCAGTTTGACAGTGTTCTAATGGCTCATGATGTTGTAGAGTCGCCGGGGCCTTGTGACAGAGAAGGTGACTGGGCCATCGAATCAGCAGGTCAGGAAGTGGGGGCTGGTGAGAAGTGAGAATAGGACCTGGGGCTCTGCATTGCAATGTGGCCCTTTACTCACCTGCCTGGGACATGCTGGGCTCAGTTGAGGCCCCCTCATGGGGCCACTGACAGGGATGGAGTTGCTTGCCTTCCCGTTCTATGCTGGGACAGCACCGGCCTTGGCCAGCCGTGTAAGGAGAAGTTGATTTGGTTTTCTTTTGCAGCTGCTTCATATGCCCTACTCTGGCCCCCTCACCCACAGCTGGTAGCTTACTGTTATTTCAAGGAGGAAGCCCACTTTCATGCTGTCACTTTGAGCTGGGGAGCCAAGATTCATTTACTGGCAACACATGAAACCTTGTTGCCCTTTCCCAGAATCAGATGGCAGTGATTGTGGTCAAGTTTTTCTTTGACCACAAATTCAGGTGACAGGTGTGGCTCAGGCCCCTCCCCACCATGCTCCTTTGAAGCCACCGTGCCTCAGTCACCTCCACGCTGGAGGCATGACACGGAGAAGAGAGTGAATGTGCTTGGCCCCTTAGGGTCTTGTTTCTAGGCCATTGTGTTATGAGCAGTGCAAATGACACCATGTTGAAGACACTTTGAGTGCTACCAGCCAAATTTAGGAAATATGGTAACAATTCTCCTACCAGCATAATGAGGGTAACTGTAAAGTGTGGGGCCCAGATGAGGGTAAAGAAAGGGCAGCAGCTTTACTTGGGCCGTACACTGGATTGAAGGCAGAGAGGGGAAAGTGATGGCCGATTATGACTGATGAGGAGGGGTGAACAGGGAGTGTTGATTTCTCTGATGTTAAGTAACTGATATAAGTTTGAATGATACTCAACCCTCTACCCCTCCCAGGGAAGAAAAGCAAAGATTCAAAGTAAGCATGACACTAGTTGGTTTACCAGTGTTCCTTCCAAGGAGACATATATTTTTTAATAAACGATAGTTGCAATGAACTGTGGCTCAGAGACCTTCTTGGAGTAGTTGGGAAGGAAGGGTTGGGGTCACAGCAGTGGGAAAAATGTCTCAAACCTTTCTTTGGGGGCCAAAAGGTTCTCTACTTAGTAATCATCAGCGGAACGAGTCAGTTGTTCTCTGGATGGTTCTAGATCCCAGTGGCCATAGCAGGTCCTTTGTGAAAGTTATATTCTCAGTCCTCCACACAGGCCCCCAAATACTGCTTCAAATAGCACTGCCCTTGGTGGTGAAATGCTGACATTTCCCTAAAAGTACACAAGATTGGAGATGCCTGCTTCAGCAAAGAGGTTTGTTAAAGAAAGCAAGGGCCAAGTTAGCAGCAGAAAACTGAGTAATATGGTGAGAAAAAGCTGGCATACCAGCTACCAGTGTGCCCAGAAAGCATTGACAGCCAGGAGAAAATGAGGGGGAGGTGGGCCCAGAGGAGGCCCCAGCTGGCAGAGCAGGGTGGCTGTCATCCCTATAGCTCCGAAGAGAGGGACGGGTGCTTAGATCACATATTTTTAATATGTTTTTTATTGACTTCAGAGGGAGGGAGGAAGGGAGTGAGAGAGAGGAACATCAATGATGAGATAGAATCATTGACCAGCCTCCTCTTGCACGCCCCCTACTAGGGATCAAGCCCATAACCCGGGCATGTGCCCTGACTGGGAATCCAACTGTGACCTCCTGGTTCATGGGTCGACGCTCAACTGCTGAGCCATGTTGGCTGGCCTAGATCACGTATTTATGACATGGTTGATGTCACTGCAACTTGAGAGAAGCCTGAGGAAGTACTGTCTTAAGGTCAAGAGAGATGACTGACTGACTGAGCAGCCCTGATGTGTGTGGGCTGGACCACACTAAGGATGATGATCCTTACCAGTTTGTGGTGCTTTACAATTTGCAGGGTGCTTCCTTCCACACATTCTCTCATTTGCTAGAAGGCAGCCTGACAAAAGGGAGTCCCCAAAGTGCTCTGTGGGATCTAAGGAAATCCTGCTCCTAAGTGCAAAGGGAACAAAGAGCTGGTCTGTAGCCACACTGTGCTGAGACTCTTCACAGCTGCTGTCCCTCCTAGAGGAGACACAGGTGAAGAAAATAAGCCCCAGCAACTTAGAACATTGAAGGCAGACATCCCCTGATTGGAAGCTCTGCTGTGACCTGATGGCTGGAGCCCCATCTTCACACAGCATCCACACTGGGGTCTCTCACCAGTTTTGCTGCTGACAGCACAGCTCATGGAACTTCAGTTTCCTCTTCTGTAACAGACCTTAAGTTACAGGATTCATAGGATGATACTCATAACTACATACAATATTTGTTCAGGGGCAAATGTCCAACTTTATCCTAAGGTGGGAGTTCTTTGAGAAATTAGCTAATGAACGCAAAATCTTTACTCAAAACAAGTGTGGAAGCTCTGCTCAAGGATGACCCTCATAATGGATGCAGGAGAAAGTGGGAGTTGAGCTAGAGGGCTGGGAAGAGACTAGAGCAAAAAAGGATGGGGCTCTAGCAGAGGGTCAGTACTGAAGACAATGGAGCCCTTTCCATAGGGACAAGGCCTGCCTGGTAGCAACCACTAGAAGCCCAAGATGTCAGAGAACCTTGAAGAAATGAGCTGAGTGGGTGTTGGGAGAGCTGTTAACTTTCTCAAGGCCACCCAGCAGGAGTGCTGGGGTGCCTGGCCAGACATCTGGGTCTTGGCAGTACTCAGTCACACTGTCTCCCCAAGTTTTGTCCTTCATTTTTGTTTTGACCTAGGATTGTATGGCTTTGATTCTATGAATCCATTTATCCATTCAGTCATTTCCTTGTCACCTCTCGGACATTTTATTATCACCGCAAATAACTTTCTGGAGCTCAAAATCCAATTTCCTCAAAAGCCTCTTTCCCCATCTCTTCCAAGAAGTAGCAGAACTGACTCCTGTAGACCTCAGTTCCTCCCCAACAAACAGGGTCCAAGTGCACGAGCCTTGCCAGAGCACAGAAGGACCTCAGCGGGACTTGCTTTGCACAGCTGTGCCCAGTGTCAGGATGATACCGCTGGTGCTTTGCACATTTGGCCGGATAAACTACCTGCCTGCCCTATCCCTCCCCTGTCACTGGCACTCTAACCAGAAGTATCTAACATACTTCGAAGGACTAGAAAGGGGGTGGTTTGAGAAGAAGGGTTCAGACCTGCCTGCTCACAGTGAAGAGCATGAGCAAGAGGATGTTTCTTGACTGGCCTTCTGGTGCCCACAGTCATCCTCCTTAGGATGGTCCTTTCGCCATCAGGCCTTGGCCTTTCTCTCTTGCTCATCTTTTGCTCTGTCCCCGTGTGTTCCTGCCACGAGTTTCCTGAATGCACCACAACCCTGTGTCTTTGCTCACACTTTATTTTCTGCCCATAAATGCCCTCACTGCCACCCCATCTTGCTTACCTGGAAGAATCCTCTCAATATTTTAAGACTTGATTCACGAATTCTCCCTCCTGACATAGAAAGGGAATGGACTGACTATTCTTGGAACCAATGTAAAAATCTGAACAATAAAGATTTAATTAAAAAAAAAGAATTCTCCCTCCTGTATGGATGGAGCTGGAGAGCATTATGCTAAGCAAAATACGCCAGTCAGAGAAAGATAAATATCACATGATCCCACTCATTTGTGGATTATAATGAACAACATAAATTGATGAACAAAAACAGATCCAGAGACAGAGAAGCATCAATCAGATGCTCAAACCTCAGAGGAGAGAGAGAGGGTAAGGGGGAGAGATCAACCAAAGGACTTGTATGCATGCATATAAACATAACCAATGGACACAGACACCAGGAGGGTGAGGGCATGAGCGGGGGGGGGGCGAAAATTGGGGGGTAAGGACACATATGTAATACCTTAATCAATAAAGAAAGGAAAAAAAAAGAATCCTCCCTCTTTAAAGGCTGCCTTTCCTGAAGCATCACTTGTCTTCCCTCCCACCCCAGAGGTTGAACTGGCATTTCCATCCCTTGTGTTCTATTAGAC